ATCTCTGATGTGCTTACTTGTGTAATGTCTGCTTCCCCTACTAAACTCCACAAGGAAAGAGACTTGCTTGTTTTATCTATTTGTTTGTTCATTTGAGAAGGGTCCCCCTCTGTAGTCCATGCTGGCCTCGAAGCCATTGTGTGGTCCAGGCTGGCCTAGAGCTCATGCAATCTCCCAGTGAGGAGGAAGGCCTCCGCCTCCCAAGTGTTTACATTACAGACGGGATTATATCTGTCTTATTCAGTGCACTGTTCATGGAGATAAGGATAGCATCTCTAAACACAGCTTACAAACATTTCTCTTTGTTTGGTTTGCAGTGCTGGAGAGGCAACCCAGGGTTTTGTGTGTGCCAGGCAAGTGTACCTTTGCCTCCAAGAAAACTTTAAAAAATTTGTATGAGTGAAAGCCAGGCCTAAGAGTGTATGCCTGTAGCCTCAGTGCTTGGTAGGTAGGGCCTGCAGCGTGAGACTCTAAGCCTGGGCTACATGAGACCCTGCTTTAAGAAAATAAGAAATTAATATATGAGTAAAAAATAGAGAGAGGCCGCTGAATTGAAAATCGAGAAGAATAATGAGTGGATAAAAAAAAAAAGTTAAAAGCAGCAGTAACAGCAATTAACCATGATGGATGCGCGGTGAGTCACAGCCTTCATTAGCTACAGATTTAATGAGACAGACACTTGTTTGGACATCTTTCTCAGAAGATCCTGTGACCTCTCCGTGCCTCATAATCATATCTTCTTGTGAAGGTGGTGTGGGAATGTTCACGCCTATTTCAGGGTGTCTGCTTGGGTATCGAGATAGCAGGAGATGGTCCATTTCAACACAGCCTATGCAGAATTGCTTGAACCTTAGGAAAGCCTTCACACATTCAGAGCTGAGAAATCCAGAACACATACTTCACAGGGGTGTGTCAGCAGTGTCTGCCGAAGGCTGAAGGGAAGAGGCAGGACTATCAGGCAGCCTGAAGGTGCTTTAGGTGGGAACACCAGCAGAGGTTTTAACTTACTTGAACCCTTACCTCCCACATTACCCAGGGACTAACCTTTTTCAGCCCACTCTCTTCCTGTGAAGTATTCCCTTTTTCAGTGTGTTTGGCCAATCGGCGCAAGTTCGTACTGTACCTTGTTTGTCTCCTGTCCGGTGTAGAGCTCTCCCACTCCCAGGCTCTGGCATGATGATGAGGACACAGTCTCTATGTGATTGCTCAGAGACTAGTGGAATCACAGTTTCAGGATATTAATGATACATGCTTTAATGAAGACATTATTTTTTGGTTTGTTTTTTTAAGATTTATTTTATGTGTGTGAGTGTTTGCCTGCATATATGCATGCTCGCCATGTGCGTGCCTGGTTCTGGCATCAGCACCGAACAAATAGCAGTGTTTGTAAGTACTGTTTAAAGAATGTCCTGATCCTCATAAACAGAGCCACGAATCCAACACATGACCATGCCTATAATCTCAACATCTGGAAGACTAGGGCTGGAGGATGACAGTGAACTCCAGGCCAGCCTGGGCCATACAATGACTACAAGGCCTGCATAGGCTGCCGAGGAAGACCCTTCTCAAATCAGCAAACAAAACAGGCAAATCTCTATTTTTGTGGAGTTTCCTGGGGGAAGCAGACATTACCTGAGACCAGAAGGGGTGTCGATCCCCTGGAAGTGTAGTTAAGTGAGCTTCCATGTGGTTGCTGCGAACTGAACCCAGCCTCTGAAAGAGAAACTAGTGCTCTTAACCACTGAGCCGTCTTTCTATGTCTTGTAGCTTGGTTTCTTTGCTTTTCATTTAGGGAGAAATCTTTTTTTTAGGCAGGGTCTTATTCTGCCTCAAACTCATGCGAGGTCCCCTTGCCCTGGCCTTCCAAGTGCTGGAATTATAGGTGTGAGTCACTACACTAGACTTTGAAGAGAACCTTAAAATTTCAGAAAGAGAACTAGAATAAAAATAGTATAAAGGATACCTATATACCAATTACCAGGTCCACTTCCTGTTAACTCTTTACCCGAGGTGTTTTCATCATTCCTGTGGTCATTCTCTCTTTCATTGAAAATCAAACTGTGTGTGTGTGTGTGTGTGTGTGTATGTGTGCGTGCATACCCACGTGCACATGTGTGCACATGTACCCATGCCCATGCATGCATTTGAAGGTCAAAGAACAACTTGTAAGAGTTGGTTCTTATCTTTTAGCATGTGGGTCCTAGGTATTGCATTCAGGTTGTCAGACCTGGTGATTAATGTCTCTACTCACTGCTCCATCTTTTAAAATCTGTCTGTCTGTCTGTCTGTCTGTCTGTGTACCTTCTCTCAACTATTGGAATGTAATATATATCCTGACCCTTCCTCCAAAATTATTTCCATTCTTATTTCCTAAAGGATATGGTAAGCCAGATGTACCGATGCCTGTAATTCCAGCAATTGGGACACTAAGACAAGACACTTGCTACAAACTAATAAGCAGGGCAATTAGCTATACTCTGTAGCCAAGCTATAGAGTGAGACCATATCTCAAAAAAAATAAATAAAAATAAGAAATACAGTGCTGCTGGGCATGGCAGCACACACCTTTAATTCTAGCACTTGGGAGGCAGAGACAGGCAGATTTCTGAGTTAAGGGCAATCTGGTCTACACAGAGAATTCTAGGCTAGCCAGGACTACTTAATTGGACCCTGTCTAAGAAAAATAAAACAAACAGCTCCCCCACAAAACAGTGGTCCTCTTTTATCCAAGCATAGGCCAGTGAATTTCAACAATTTACATAGTTTCATTTATATTTAATCTAATGTATGGTCTTATATTCCAGTCTTAGCTGTCAATCCACTAACGTCCTTTATAGCATTTCCCTCCTCCAGGAGAGAATGAAGCCAGGTACTCTGTACTTAGAATACATTCAGCCTTGAAAAGATCAATTCCTGTAGAATATTAAACAATCATTGCACAGGCCTATTAGACAGTGTTGCACTCATAAGAAAACAACACAATTTTGCTTTGCTGTAAAAAATCCTAAACATTCGTATTTTTCATAGTGTGGATGTGTGTCTGCCTGTATGGGGTTACGTGCATATGAGTACAGGTGCCTGAGAAGGTCAGAAGAGAGCTTCTGTGCCTCTGGAGTTGGAATTAGAGATGGTTGTGAGCCACCGTGGGTGCTGGGAACCAAACCCAGGTCCTCTGAAAGAACAGTTAGCACTTTTAACCACTGAGTCATCTCTCTGGCCTGTTTTTTGGTGCTAGTTTTTTGTTTGTTTGCTTGTTTTTGTTTTTGTTTTTTTCTGACCAGGGATGGCATTCAGAACACATTGAGACAGAGTTTCACTTTGTAGTTCAGATGAGCCGAGAACTCACTTTAAGGCCCCAACTTGGGTTATTTCTGCCTCAGCACCATACTATCCCTTACTGACAAATTTTGAGTAATTTTTTAAAAACCTCCACAAAGGAACATGCTTAAACATTTGCTTATTTTTAAGTATAGAAGTGCTTTGCCTAAATGTGTGCCTGATGCCAGCAGGGGCCAGGAGAAGGCATTGGATCCCCTGGAACAGGAGTTTTAGAGCCACTGAAGGGTTTTGGGTCAGCCGATGCTGAGAACTGAACCTGGGTCCTCCGGCAGAACGGCAGGTGCTCTCCACCCCTGAACCGTCTCTCCAGCCACCAGAAAGTGTTTATCTTGTAGAACTCTCACACTGTGGGTGTCGAGAGAGTACTCTCTCCCACATTATCAAACTGCAGCCGGAAGCCATATTCATCACTTTTTGTCATCAATTTCTTTCCCCACAGGGTCCAAACACGTGTGTCTGAGGCTAGGCAGGGAAATCAATACCCATGAAAAATAGTTACCATCCTCTCCCCAGATGCTCATTGAAACCTCATTTACGCAGGGGCCTTGTGCAATTTGTTACTGACACCATATTAGTTTTGAGTTTCCTGTCTCTCCAAGTCATGAGACATGCCCAGGCATGGTTGAATTGCAACCATGGGACCAATGAACACAAACAGGAGGCGCACAGTCCTCTTCTTCTTAGATGACTACTTTCTTTCCAAGAGCTCATCTAGCTATCTAGGCTAGATTATAGTGCCATCTAACTGGTTTTGGAACAAGGCAAAGCTATCACCAAGTCCAATGTCAGCATCCAGTATTGACACTGCCCTACTAAAAAGGCGATGGCATCTTGATTTGTCTCTGGTTCAGATAAGATTTTTTATTCCTGTGAAGTCTGATACAGAGGACTTCAGCTCCCTGGGCACAATCTACTTAGACAAGTAGGAACAGACAGTGGTTCTGTGCCATCCTGTTTATTTAGGGTCTGGTAGGTTTAGCAAAGCCTATTTGCCTTGTCTTCCTTTCCCACCAAATGTCCTGAAACTGTATAAGAAACCATCAATGACTCTTGCATTTGTCCGTCCTTCCTTCCTTTCTTCCTCCCTCCCTCCCTCCCTCCCTCCCTCCCTCCCTCCCTCCCTCCCTTCCTCCCTCCCTTCTTCCTTCTTTGCTTTCTTCTTTTCTTTTCTTTCTTTTTTTTTTCCGAGACAGATTTTCTCTGTGTAACAGCCTTGGCTGTCCTAGAACTTGCATTGTAGACCAGGCTGGCCTCGAACTCAGAAATCCACCTGCCTTTGCCTCTTCTGTGCTGGGATTAAAGGCGTGCACTACCACTGTCCTGCTCTTGCGTCTTTCATTAGGTTTTTTATTTGCCTATTTTTAGGGCCCCAATCCATGCCTTATTTGAGGAGTTGGAGACCCCCCCTCCAGACTCATTGTAAATGGCATTGCCTGACCCCAGTTTTATGGCCCCTCCTTGCTCTGCTTGTATAAGACAGAGTCCTGGCAGAAAGCAGATGGCTCATTCAAAGGGTTGATGTGAGGGGAGTTGAATGCAGATGTAGGCAGGGAGAAAGGAATCACTACAGGCTCATAATGTCTTCCAGGTGATAACAGCAGAAAGTCATTACTAGCTTTATTAGTTAGGGTTCTCTAAACGAATAGAATTTATAGGATGAATATATATCAAAAGGGATTTATTAGAGTGGCTTACAGGCTGTGCTCAGGCTAGTGCAATGGCATCTCTCAAACGAAAGACCAAGAATCCGGTAGGTGTTCACTCGGCAAGGCTGATATCTTGGCTGGTCTTCAGTTTATGTTGGAATCTCAAAGAAAGTAGGTTCTAACACCAGAGAAGGAATGACTCAGCAACAGGACAGATGAACTTGCCAGTGAAAGTGAGGGCAAGCAGGCAAGAAGCCAAAAGCTTCTTTCTTCCAAATCCTTGTATATGGGCTGCCACCAGAAGGCACGGCCCAGATTTAGCCCAGGTCTTCCTATCTCAAATGATCCAGTCAAGAGAATTTCTCACTGATGTGCTCACCTGCTTGGGTTGTAGGCGCTTCCAGCTGTAGTCAGGTTGACAGCCAAGATTAGCCAGCCCTCACCTTGAAAGGAGAGAAAGAGACATCATTAAAAGTTGGTGAGAAGGGAAGCTGTGGAAAGGGAATGCCCAGTGGCCATTGTGGCCATTGGGACACCATGCTGTCCTTTCGTCGTGACATGCTCATTGTTGCTTTGAAGTAAGAGCTTCTGCATTTACCCACGGGACTTCCTCACAAAGTTTGGCCCGCATACAGTTCCTTGTGAAGGGGAGGAAGCTCATGTGACAGCCCTCGAGGCCCCACCCCTCCCAAAGGAGCTATACTCAGTTAACGGTTGTTGGGATGAGGAGACATTTTCTTTGGCGGCATAACTGCCTGCCATTAATTGCCCATGCTCCTGTGGGTAACCACTTACTCTCTTGTAAGTAGCCTGGTTCAATTAAACGTACTGTGTTAAGATCAGACTATGCCCTATTATAAGCGACTCCAGTATTGAATAAAACAGTGGTTTTTTTTTGCAGGCTAGGCGTTGCTATAGGAGACACCATTTTACAAGCAGATTTCGACTCCATTCTGAGGAAGAAAGAAGACTGCGCGCACTGGGTGGACCCAGAAATTGCACCATCTGTCAGGCACCACCCACCCAACACAGACTGATAAGTGACTTATTGCTGGGAACAGAGAGGGAACCACCCTCTACATTTATTGGGGAGGTTTGAAACTGTGGGGGCACATGGACATCTTAAAATCTTATCAGGGAAGCCAAGCCTAGGAACTTATCAAGGAACGGGTGGAACTCCTTCACCTGCACTCTGTAAAGGGATGGACACCCAGCCCTGGGATGGCACGGTCCTGCACTGATGTATCATTGGATACCCTGTGTGTACTGATGACCCCTCTATGTGGCTTGTTTTTATGGCAGGTGATGGAAGCCACTCTACTGTCTTCCCATGTGTTTGCCTGTCTAGACTTGGACAGGACCGTTTCCTGCTCTGAACCTGCCTAGGCCTTTCCCCCTTCAATTCTGAAGCCTCCCTCAAGGCTGACAGCAGCAGTTTCAACCAGCAGCCCATCCCTCCCGCCCCCCCCCCCCGCCAGCACTAGTCTGGTTCATTAGCTTTCCTATACAGACCTTTTCCAACCCACTTCTGCCTCCACTTGAGCACTGGTGCTTCATCTTTTCATTCCCGTTGCTCTAACTATTCATTCTGTAACACACACACTCACAGGCACAGAGCTGGATGAATTTACTGGGTTCTATGATGAGGGTTAATATTAGTAAATACAACTGGAATAAAAGAATCTGCATTCTCCTCTGCCAAGCTACCAGGGTAGGCAGATTTTATGACGAATTGCTGTCGTTAAACCCTCTCCACCTTGCGAATTTATTTGTATTTAATACATTCTGATATTGTGGAAAGGCACAAGTTTGTTTGTATGTTTCTGGCGTACTGTGTTCACAGCACATTGACTCACCAAGCGGAACTGTTTGTCTGCTCTGCCACTGGCACCCTATTTGGGGTGACTAGATGTTAGTTTGTGTTTTCCCAGGAAAGGATCATGTGACACATGGCTGGGCATGAAGAGAACAACAATAGTAAGTCCTCAGGGTGCTCTTTCTCTGCACTCAGTTGGGTGTCACGGCATGTTGCCTACCACAGGCCAAAGCCAAGTGGAAAAACCAGTGATCAAGAGAGCTCATGGGATCCAGGCTGTGGCAAGGTCAGCTTTCAGGGCACAGGGCAAGGGAGAGAGAGGCAGAGAATGGAATTTGAAGACCCTTAAAACTATGCAGCACTTCCTCGTCATGAGTTTGAGATTTGCAGGACCATCCTTCTTGTCAGATCCTCATGGGCCAAGTGAGGGAGGAAGGGCTTTTCAGAGCTGCCGGCAGGACTCAGAGGTGAATGCTAAGGTCCAAGTTGTTTGTTCTTGAGACAGGTCTCACTGTGTAGCTTTGGCTGTCCTGGAACTCATTATGTAGGCGAGGCTGAACTCAAACTCATGGATTCAAAGCATAAACTACCACAACTGGCAAGAGCCTAGCTTTTATGCAATATGTTGTGAAATGTGGGATAAAGGACATCTGTACTCACGGTGACAAGATGACAACATAGGGATTAAGAGAAAGCCATGTGTGGATATCTGTGATCTGGACACCCAGGAAGGAGAGGCAGGAGAATCACTGCAAGAGACAGGCAATAGAACTGACAAAGGAGATTGAGGGAAAGGGAACAGAGAGGAAGGAGAAGAGCCTTGTAGCTTCATTTCTGTTGTTTTTGACAAAAAAAAAAAGCAACTTAGGGAAAGGAGATTTATTTGGCTTACAAGTTCAAGTTAAGGTCCATTTTCTTAGAGAAGTCAAGGCCAAACTCAAGCTGCTAGTCAGACCACATCCACAGTCAAGAGAAAAGAGGGAAAGAATAATGCATCCTTGTGTGGCTACTTGCTTCTGCTCAACTAACTTTCTCTATGTCTATGGCTCGGGGACCCGGCTCATGAAATGGTGCCCACATTTAGGGTTCATCTTCTCACTTCAATTAACACCTAAGACAATCTCCTACATACAATTCCACAGACCAACCTGATCTAGGCAAGTCCTCAATTGAGGCTTTATTCCCAGGTCTTTCTAGGTTGTGTCAAGTTGGCGTTTAAAGCTAAGCAGTATAGCCAGGCTTCATGGCACACACCTGGAATCCCAGCCCTTGGATGACAGAGGCAGGCAGATCTCATGGTTGGATGCTAGCCTGGTCTACATAGAGAGTTCCAGGCCAGTTAGAGCCACACAGTGAGATCCTGTCTCAAAAAGGGCAGGGGTGGGTTTTTTGTGATTGGAATTGAGAATGGACAGAAAGGCAATAATGGAGAAGGATCAAAAATATGCACTTTGGAATTGGACTGACCTTGGGCCTTTCTTGCTTCTAGATGTCAAATTACAATTGTTTTCATACTGTGCAGGTGTATCTTAGTCTTACAATTCTCCATCTTCTAAAAGATGGATAACAGACACACTTTCCTACTTAAAGGTACCAAATGGAGTCAGAGTGCTAAAGTAGACATGAAGGCTCCAGCATGACAGTGATTACAAAGGTCATTACAGGAGAAAAAGACAATATCGCAAGAACATAAAAAGCCCAGCACAGACAAAGGCTGTGGCCCAGCAAGGCTCTGAAGAGACCAGAGGGAAGCTCCAGTTGTCCCATGAGAGGACATTCTGTCTGTAACCTGAAACCACAAAAGTTTAACTCCAAAAGCTGGGGTGGGGGTGGGGGGTGGGGAGGCACAGCAAGGGACTTTTGGCAACAAAGCTAGGTTCGAATTATTAATCTACTAATGAGCTTGAATACTCTCATCCAAAATACCTAACTAAATCTTATAATTTGGCAAACATAAGAAACTTCAATTTAAAACTGGCCAAAGCATCTGAAAAGTCATTTCTCTAAAGAAGATAAAATGAGTATTAAAGACATGAAGAGATACTTGTTAGTCATTAATGTAAACCAGAGCCATAAGATAGCACTTCAAAGTCACTGGGAACACACACACACACACACACACACACACACACACACACACACACACACACAGAGAGAGAGAGAGAGAGAGAGAGAGAGAGAGAGAGAGAGAGAGAGAG